AGTCTATCCTAACTTTCCTTTTAGGTTCTTATTGTATGCATTTTCCTTCTTCAATAGAAGGAAAATCGGCAGGTTCATTAGGATCAGGTATCAATGATCCTCTAAAGGTCAATGGAACGCCTCCTACTAAATATGGAATTAGTACCTATGTTGAGCAAATTTTTGGGATTCCTCTAGCAACCCTATAACTAGTGTGAAGGTTTTGTCGTTAAGTTCAACAAACTGGGTGGTTATATGTTAGAAATTTGAGAGGTTGTAGAAAATGAAGCCATCTTTTGATTATAAGAAGGGTTGATGAAAAAGGGAAGTGGTAGGGTTCGAATAACGTTAAAAGAAGGAAAGTAGGGGAAAGTTTAGAAGATAGGAGAGATTGGGTGATTGGTGTATACACTACAACAGAAAGAGGCTTTCGTGACGGCACTTTAGATAGCGGTTAATAAAAATCGCTTTTAAAAATACATATTAGATAGCGGTTAGGAATAAATCGCTTTTAAAAGTATGTTTTAATAGCGGTTCAGAAAGAACTGCTTTCTAAAGTAATTTATAATAGTGGTTGTGTGATAATCGCTATCTAATACCATACCTTTAAAGAGCGGTTGACACGTGGAACCACTATCATAACTTTAGATAGCGGTTACTTTGTAGAACCGCTATAATAAATGTAGTTTAAATAGCGGTTATTTGGCAAACTGCTATCTAAAGTCAAATTTTTAAAAACCCTAATCCCCCTTTCTTCAACCTCGCGCTCTCTATTTTTGCGCTTTTTACCACTGCGCTCTTCTTTTCACTCTGTACGTCTTTCATTAATTAAAGGTACGTTCTCTCTTTCTCGCTCACTTTGTGTTCTCCCACTTGCTCTTGGTTCTCTCCATTTCCCTTTATGTCTTCAATCTCTCTCATTCTCTTGCTCTCACTATTCAGTTGGCTATTACAACCTCATTGAAACATATTTGTGTGTCGCCAAGTTCGCGTACTAGTCTCCATTCGTCATTGTTGTTGTAGGACGCGCTTATTGGGAGGTCTACAATAAGTTAGTGCATTATATAATTTTTAGGCTTTTATTTGATTTATTATAGTATAATTATTTGAATTAATATGATATTAGATACAATTTACACCCTTGTTTTGATTCTGATACGTTTAGTTATATTTTAGGGTGAGTGTGAATAAAAGTTTGGGAAAAGAGTTTTCCTTGGCCAATAATTATCTAGGTAGTTTATTAAACTGTTATTTGTTATAGTTGGTAAAATTTTGATTTTCTATTCGTGTCATTGTCTCTTAGTGCATGGTTGAATGAGGTTAATTTTACCAAATTCAAGTTGAAGGTCAATGTCAACCCACATTAACATATAGTAGACATGTTGGAGCTTCATTTTGGTCAAGATCACTTGGTATTTGCTCCTTATAATGTCGGGTAAGTTATTCTTGTGTGATTGATCAATTCCTTTCACATATTGTAAAATTTGTTGATTATATCTTTTTATTCCTCATTTTGTATTGTGTTCAATAATTTTAGTTCGCATTTGATTCTAATTGCTATCAATACTTGGGATGAGACATTGTATTATTTTGATTCATTACGCCATCACTATAAGCACAAAACACATATGTTCAACATTTTTAACAAGTAAGTAAACTCATATGTCTGTTTTGCATATGAATATTCAATACGATAAGATATTTATATTAACTTCTTGCTATTTCAGTGCCTTACTTGCATATAGAGCTGAAAGGAGGCTTTGAATGCCAAAGACAAAGATGAATCAAACAAGATGGGTCAGTGTACAGGTATCAAGTGTACCCCAATTCATGTTTTCATACATGCTTATTTCACTTGGCAATTAGTCTAAACTATCTTTATGTTTTTTGGTCTACAAAGTGTCCTAAGCAAATGAACTCAGATGACTATAGATATTACATAGTCTTATTCATTGGAGATGCATTACAGCATGGACAAACTATTATTCCAGTTAACGTAAGAACAATTTTTGCATTATGGCTATGTTTATATGAAAGAATAATGTATTGTCATTATTTATCTAATTTGGAATTTAACTTTTGTGATTCTTTTCTATCTATGTTTGCAGTATTTTTCAGAATCTCACTTTGTTACCTTTCCGGACCTTAGAATTGAGCAGCTACAAAAGGAATGGTGTGCATATTTCTACCATACATTTTTGAAGGACAAAATCAACATCATAAACTCTTAGGAATTTTTTTAATCATTTCAATTATTTGATGTATATGTACCAATTTTGTTTTAAGCAAAATTTAGTTTTAATTTGTCAAATTTTGAATTATTTTTATATGATTATGTGAATATATATTGTATGCTAGCTGGAATTTGTAGGATTAATTTGATATATACCCTGAAATTGTGATCTATCAGGTACAAATTAATAGGAAAAAATTTTGGATTTTAAAATTTAAATAATTTTTTTAAAATTGGGACTTTAGATAGCGATTCCTAGAACCGTTATCTAAACATATTAAAAGAGAGCGATTTTAGAACTAACCGCTATTAAAAGTATATTTTAGATAGCGGTTGTCGCTTTAACTACTATTATATGTGTCATTTTAAGAGCGATTCATCATTACAACCGTTATTATAAATACAACTTTGCATAGCGGTTCCACGTTAATCGCTATTATATCTTATTTATGATAGTGGTTAGTTAACCGTTATCTAAATGTCATTCTTTTATTAGCACCTCATTTAATAGTGTTTTTAACCGCTATTATAGAGCATGTGGAACCACTATTATATGTCTTTTATGTTGTAGTGGTAGTGGTGAGGGAGATGAAACAATTTTAGTTTTAAAAGAGAATGATTTCCCAAGAAACTTAGGAATGCAAATGGACTTTTGTGTAGGCCCATATCTGATTCTACAAATATTTTAACCTAATTTTAGGTGAAATGACGACTAAATGGATGATGATACAGACAATAACATTTATTACAGGAATTTAGCATTTGTGAGGGGAACGAAAGGCAATGATTGAAACATGGGATCAGCTACTTTTGACTAAAGTAAAAATAAAATATTTGAATTTATTTTGTCATCAAGAATAAGAGAATTTACATTCATCGAGATACATGTATCATTCTCTTAGGGGACATTTTATTAATGGTAAAATTACAAATGTATCAAAAGGAATGAATCGAGAAATGGATCGAAAGTACATGTTGCAAATGGTTAGGAAGTGCTCAAAAGAACATGTCATCGAAAAGGGGGTTGAGGGATATATTGAGAAATAAAGTAGTGTGGTGTCATCAGTTCAGCATCGAAAGTTGAAAAGTTGAAAACATCGAGGATCGTGGTACAAATCGATAAAGATGTGATATCGAGAAGAAGTAACGTAATCGAGAGATATGCGAAGACAATTATTATCACATTATGATATATGCACACTAATAGGTGGTACATGGTGACAACGTGGGTCGAAGAAAGGAATGACAACTATAATAAAGTAACCATTCGTAGATTTTTTTTTTATTTGTATGTTATTTGATTGTATTTTACTTTCATTTTTAATTTATTTTGGTAGTTTTATTTTAGCGATTACACATAAGAAAAATATAAATAAGGTGAAATAAATGTAAATAGAGGTAATTGTCAAATTGTACGAAGAAAACTTACATTATGAAAAAATGCTACGAATATGGAACAAGCATTTTCATTGAGTTCTTTGCAAATTGGTTCACCACTTTAATTGGTTTTTTTTTACCAATTTATGTTTTATCACTGATAATGGGTTAGATTTATCTTTCTGTCATTTACTTTTTTCGCACATTTATTTTTCGATAATTTACTTTTATTGTTCTTTATTATTCAAGCAATTTACTTTAAATGTTTCAAATCATATTGGAAGTCAAAATTGTACGTGACAAATCTTTAGATGAGATATCTTGCCTTTTAAATATAGTGATTAGTATGAAACGAATTTGCATGGTGTTAGAAACAAAATCATTATTGGTTGTTCCTTGACTTTATTAGTCTTTATTATCATTTATTCGATTTTAATATTTATAACTCTTAAGTAATCTTTTAAATTAAGTTTTATAACTATAAATATGATATTTAATATAGTGAAATATAAATAATATGAATATTTACTCTTTGTATATATATATATATATATATATATATATATATATATATATATATATATATATATAGTGAGAGCTTGTTTCATATAAAAAAAAATTAATTTTTTAAATGAGAGGAAAATAAGATTGAAGGCATTAGGAAGGAATAAAGAAAAGAATTAATAGAATATTGATTGTGTTGTGAGATGGAGATATAAACAAATGCTCATTTTTTTAAAAATCTACCAATCTATCTTTCTTCCGAGCTTCCGATACAAAGGAAATAGGGTCGCCATCGTACGCAGCATCAAGCAGAGGTGATAAGAGACATATTTGGAATAAGTATAGTGGCTGTTCATATAAATAATATTTGTTCCACACCATGCAATCTCGTCGGGTAAGACGGGAAACGCAAAAATTGGGCATCATATTGGTGAGAATATATCATTCCCTCAAAATTTAGTTCACTCATGTTTTAAAATTTGTATTTGAATTATTCCCTCTCCAATTTGATATTTCCAAATATATTAACCTCTATTATTTTATAATTAGAGTGTGTAATTCTTTGTCATGCATTATGAGACAGACAATTAATTTATAGCAAATAATTGAAGATCATTTTCCAAATGTTTTTTTCTTGCTATATATGGAATTTCATATATATATATATATATATATATATATATATATATATATATATATATATATATATCAACACATTCTTCAAAATGACAACTTATTTTCATCTTGTTCAACCTCCTTGGATTGAATTATTGAATAACCCAGAATACATTATTAATAACTTTTATCTTTGTTTACAATACAACAAACTTATCAAATTTGATTTATGGACAGGACAAATCTAATCTACTTATACAAAGAAAACACAATTGCAATTGAATATGATGAAATGAAGAAAGTAGATCTTGTAGAATTGCCCAATCTAAGGAGTGTTTCTCTAGGAGACATTGTTGAATGGAAATCCTTGGAGAATGTGACGACAAAGTTCTCATTACTTAGTAAGGTGGGAGTTTAAATGTATCCTAAAATTGATCTATTTCCATTGAGTATTTGATGATTGAAAAATGTACACCATTATTGACAAAATTCACAACTGAACATGAAATTCCCATAATTGATGGCAAGTCTTTCTTTGAATTAAATGAGATTGTCTTTAACAATAATGACAACTTTGTTTATGTCATCTCTTTTGAGACATTACAAGAGTTTGAAGAACTTGAAGAAAATATTTGTTAATCATTATAAGGAATTGAGAATAATATGAATCTTGTTTTATATCTCTCCTATAACAATTACATGCAGTGGCGGATCTTTTTGGGAGCCGAGAAATGTCATGACCCTTCTAAAGTTTTATAACTCTCATATAATTTATGATTTTGGTTCCTCCAAAACTTAATGAGCATTTAATATATTTATTTGTATATTTACAATTTTATTCTCTCAGCCCCTCCTTAATTTTGTAACTCTCATATAATTTATGATTTTGTCCCCTCAAACTTAATGATCATTTAATATATTTAAGTATATATCTACAATTTTATCCTTTCACTTTTTCATCTTCTTTCTTCCTTTTATATTTATTTATTATTTATTAATAATATATTATTATTGGTCACCCCAAAATCAATGGTGAAGATCCGTCATTGACTACATGAACTAATTTTGACACATCTTTCAATATTAACTCATATCATCAACAATGAAATTTCAAGGTTCTATCCAATCCTACAAGTGAAGCGTCTCTTAATTGGCTACCAATGCCTGCGTTGGAAAAAATTATGATCGTTGAAGAAGTAGAGGGAATAAGAGAGAAGTTCATCTTCCCTGAATTAAAGGATGTTTCTCTTAAAAATCTAACTAAACTCTTTAATGTCTTTCCTTCAATATCTAAATTTCCATAATTAGAAATATTAAAAATTGCAAGTTGTTATGTTATGAGGACTTTTGTTGAACTTCTAAAGCTTTTACATAATCAACTCTAACCAGTTTTAGATAAAATATCATTTATCAACTATGCATGATGAGAAGCTTTGGCACCATGATTATCCCACTGAGTCATTGTGTGGATTGGAAAATCTGTGAGACCAACAACGATAAAGTTTTTAGTGTTATCTCCTATAACATGATCATGAGATTCAAGAAATTGTGAAAACAGACTTTGGACAAATGCGAATTATTGACTGAATGCAGCTGAAATATGCATGGAACAAGGAACCTTAAGTTCCATTTCTCCCAAATTTTGGAGTCACTATACATTGTCCAAAATGGTAGCCTTAAAAAATTATTCTCAATTTCTTTAGTAAAAAATCTTGGAAAACTGAAAATATTGAAATTGTGTAATCGTGATGAAATAGAAGAGATCATGCATAGTGATACAAATGAAGATGAAAAGGTTCCTATCTTTTTCCCCAAACTAGAATGTCTTGTATTAAAGATCTTCCCATGATGGTCACTTTCTAATATATATATATATATATATATATATATATATATATATATAACTTTGAATTGGTCTAAGTTGAAAATGGTGAGGTGAGCAATATTCTAAATATGAAAACATTTTCAAATGGAACCCTTATGACACCATTTTTAAGATCAATTTATACAACATTTGTGAAGAAACTCTGGTTTAGAAGTTTAAACCACACCATATCATATATGTACCACAATCCAAATACTAATTTTTAAATAGAGTGGTGATATTTTGACAACTAGAAATCATACAACTCTTCAAACAACTATTTTTTATTAATATAATAATTTGTAGAATGATTTAATAAAAATAAAAATTAAAGTAAAACTATTATTATAATATTAAAAGTGAGTTGTTTACAGGAGTTGTATGGATTTGGGTTGTCAAAGTATCATTTTCCTTTTTAATATATTATATGCAAACCCTAAAAGGATATAATATTAAAGTGATACAACCTGTTTAAATATATTTAATATTATCTCGTATTCTAAATCATGTCTCTTAAAAATATATATTTATATAGTTTTCTTTTTGATACACAATGATATATGAATATATAGGTTTGTAGGGATCTTTAGAATATTTTTTGTTGATTTATATAATAATATTCTCTTAACTCTCTTTCATATATTGTAAATATAAAATAAGTATTTCGAGATCAACTTGGCTATTTATCTTCTTTTTTTTTATAGTAATTTTTGCATTAGGTTTTTCCGTTTACTTTTATTTCTTACACTACTTTAATTATCATATAAGTAAATTATTCTCTTCTATTTCTATGTCTCTTCCATTATGATATTTCTCCTTTCATTTATATATTGCAATGTTTATTAGCATGATGGATGTTGATTAATATATATATATATATATATATATATATATATATATATATATATATATATATATATATATATATATATATATATATATAGGCTCATGTGAAGTAATATACCACTATGGGTATATGCTAGAAATGTGTATATATAGAAATTTTTAAACTTTATTTTAATCGACTACAAAATAAGAAATAAAATTTTAAATGGAAATATTCATAGACTTCAATTAAAAAAAATATAAAATAGAGATATAAAACATTAACTTCAACTATACAATGCTTAAATCATCCAATTTAATAGGAAAAACTATCAATAAGTCACAGTATTGTCGTCGTTCACTATAACTAGAAATCACTCAAAAAAACTCATGCAAGTAATTATTGTCACTCAACCAAAAACCTTCGTACACGAAAAGCACAAGATCTTAAAAGAGATATAAAATTAATTTTACGCTATACCATAGGATTTAATATAAAAAATAATTTTTTGTCAAATTTTACTTATATCTCACCTCACTGATACGAGTTGATTTTATTTTTAAAATATCTATTATATTTTTTTATCATGTTAGATACATAATATTTTGTATTAGTGAGCAGAAAACATTATAACGATATTTTCAACATGATTTATAAAAAAAATCTTAATTTTTATTGTACTAAAAAAGATATGTTATCCTAAAGGAAAAACTTTATTATCTTAAAAGAAAACTAATCTCATTTTGAGTCTAAGAAAGAGTAGTGAGATCCAAAGTAAATTTTAAGAACCGTGAATTGAAGGGCATGGGTTTTTTGAAGCATATATAATTTTTGTTTGATTATTTATTTTAAAAAGATGCTTCTCCAAATTTAAATTCGTGGAAGAAACCCACCCTCACATGTCTATCTCTATTTCTACGTTAGCCTCCAAGCGACGTCGTAAAAGGCTCTGTAAGTGGAGAAAAAGATCTACAGCAAGATTTTCAACACACTTCAAATTTCTACTTCTGTGAGCTACCCAACCACACCATCAAATCAAATAAACCATACTAAAGGAGACCACATAAAAAAATTAGCCATTCTTATTCCAAAATGTTGGAAATTCCTCTACCACTATTTTTGGCTCATAAGAAAGTAGAGGGAAATCCATGACACAAATTTCATGTACGTTTCTTTGAGAATTGATAACATCACGCATCCTTCTTTCCCACCACATTATTCAGCCTTCTCCCACTTCCACAAAATCACCATTTCTTCCACAACCACTATTGAGTACCTCCAAATTTTGTATATTTTGCTCTTTCTCACACAAAAGTTTGATTCTTCTTCATCCTCAACACTTCCAATGTATTCCTTACCCCATCACAAGTATACACCAAGCTTCTACCACAAAGTTGGTAAGAATCGCCAACCCTTCCATCCATTTCGGATATTTTACTCTACCACTACAACTTCTACATCCAAATCTAATGTTACACCACTTGTTATTGAGCCCAAACTTGTGCCGGCGGGATCAACGGTGGTTACCACCGTTGATAACCGTCGTCCGATGAACAATGACCCTAGTTTGCAATCAACATGGTCTCATAGAGCATGGGTGACATTTGGGTGCACAACTTTGCTCATTTCTTTGGGAGAATCTATAAAGGGTGCAATGGATTTAAACATGTGGGCTGAGCCCATCGTGGCAAGTTGGGTTGGTTACATTTTAGCTGATCTTGGATCTGGAGTTTCTCATTGGGTCATTGACAATTATGGTGATGACTCAACCCCAATTGTTGGAGCCCAAATTGAAGCCTTTCAAGGCCACCACAAGTGGCCTTGGACCATTACTAGGCGCGAATTTGCCAACAATTTGCATGCATTGGCACGCGCGGTGACCTTCATGGTGCTTCCTATAGTCTTGGTTTGTCATGACCCAGTTGTTCAAGGATTTGTTGGGGTGTGTTCAGGTTGCATCATGTTTAGCCAACAGTTTCATGCATGGGCACATGGCACGAAGAGCCGGCTTCCGCCGCTTGTGGTGGCGTTACAAGAGGCCGGCGTGCTCGTGTCACGGTCCCAGCATGCCGCCCACCACCGGCCGCCGTATAACAACAACTACTGTACAGTGAGTGGAGTGTGGAATGAGTTTTTGGACAAGCATAAGGTCTTTGAAGCTTTGGAAATGGTGTTGTATTTTAAAACTGGGGTTAAGCCGAGGTCATGGAGTGAACCTGCCTCTGGATGGATTGAGGAGATTGAGACCTCTTCTCAAGTCCAAGCCCAATGATGTTTATTCTCTTTTCCATTTACTTTTAAATGATTTATTGCACACGTGTGTGAATGTGCTCTTGGCTCATGTAATTTACATTATATTTAAACTAGTGTTTGAAAGGTTAAATATATGAAACAGTGGGATGTTTATGTTGTTTCTTTCTCAGTAATATTTATTATTTTGAATTTGTAGCATCTAATTATAGATGTCAATTTATTTATTTTTTATATATATTAACTTGTGATCTCTGGTTGTAGGTTGAACCTGTGTTGTTAAGTATAAATTTGTTTGGTTATTGAGATTGTTTGTGTTTCTTATTTTCATAATTATAAAAGTAACTCGTTTCACTTTGTTTAAAACTTGTATTGAAAGAAAAAAAAGGGTGACAATGTAGTGTTTCTTTTTAACGAAATCTGTAAAACAAAAAATAAATAAAACCAAAATGACATTGTTTTGTTATTAATTACTCCCTCTCAGCTCGTAAAATATAATAAATAAGAGTGTTCGTTAATATGAACAAATTTAACTAATTTCCCGTCATTTAACAATGTTATTCCTAAACATTCTTTATTTAATGGTAATATATTTTGAATGACTTTTTTTTTAATGATACCAAGCTCCAATATACAGTATTTTAGAGAAAAACAAAACTATTTTTTGAATTGAAGTTTGTAAAACTAAATGATCTCAATCAAGTTTCGTAATTAATTAATATAAATTAGTTATTTTTGTTTATATTTATGTTAAGAGGAATAAAAAAAAACAATGTTTTCTCGATTCTATCATATCAATTACATCCTGGAATCAATCTCAACTAGGAACCTATTGCGTGTTATAAAACTAATGTACCAAACATTAGCTTCAATTTGCAATGTTTTAAAACATGCATGAAGTTATTTGTCATGAAAAAAACGAAATATACCAACCAAAACTAATCCTCGTAAATACTGCTTTGCAAACCAGACGTTCTAAGCAGAAGTGTGTCATAAATTCTTGTGATTGAACTGGATCTAGTTATGCACATGATCAATGCTTCCATGACTTCAATAAGAGGAAAAAATGGGGAAAAAAACTGAACAAAATCCAAATAATTGTACTACTTTTATGCAATCACTATTACATTCCAGTTCCCAATCACCATACATATATGTGTACATTACATAAACATACAATTAATCACACGTTTTAGGACTTGAATTAAAGAAGCAAAAGCAATGATAAATGCCAATTTTCAAACAATCTACACATACAAAGGCCTTTAAGAATCAGACCTCGGTTTCCTTTCCACTAAATTTACTAGGAATCAACTCCGACTGAAGATGAGATGGGAGACACACAAGGAAACCAGTACCTACGTCTACCATCTCTATGGCCATCATCAATCATTGCAAGCCCTTCCTGCAGCAACCAACATTGTTTCATTATTGCATATGATTTGAAATTGGAGTGTGCTAATAAGTTGAAGAGAAAGGAAAAGATTTTTCTTTTAAAGTTTTTGGTTATCTTACATCAAGTAATGTATCGAGGGCATCGATGGCGCGGCCGGAAGTCCAAGATAATCGTCTCTCTACTTCATCAACAGTCACAAATCCTTGAGCCTGCAGTAAAGAAAATGTTATGTAATCTCAAATAGCAAACTGCTGCATGGCTACTTTTGCTACATTACAAAGTGGACAGAGGAAGTCTTTTCTTCACAAATAGGAATCCAAGTTCTAACTAATGTCAATCAAATTAAACCACACCATGGGGTCAAGTTTATATGATGCATTGCGGTAAAAAATTTAAAATAAAATGATATCACCATTAAAAACACAGATTGAAAGCTGAAATAAAGGATAACATATAAATTGTTGGGGACTAAACCTATATTTGCTGAGTGACAACTTTTTTCTTCTATTAATAATAAGCCACAAACAATTACATGTTACCAGACACTAAAGATGAAGTCGATAAGCAACTTGATCTTTTGTAAGCTAAAATGAGAACATCAACCAACTAGATTAGACAGGCATCATCCTATTTGTTCTATCACTCAAAGCCACTCAAAATATTCAATCTTTTCTTCAACGTGCAATTAAAACGCAACATCAAGTTAGTTCACAGGTTCACGACTAAGAAAACATGAATGTAACATGTAAACATTAGTGAGTGGTGACTAGGGGTGTCAATATGGATTGTAACCCATGAGACAACGCAGCTCACTACGATTTGGGTTCTAGGTTCGAGCCGAGTTGGATTTTATTTTTTTCATTTCTACCGATAATGAGTTAAAAATGAACCTAGTTTACTTAACCCACGGGTTAAATGAGTTCAAATCGGATTATGGTGAGTTAGCCTATAATCTACCATTCATTCTAAATTTTAAAAATAATTATAATAATTAGTAATCCTAATTGATGTTATTTTGTATCTCCATCTCTACTTTACGTCGCTGCCACAAGCTAAATTCTCACTCAAGCTTATATTCAATTGTTTGCTAGTGTTCGCCATTGCAACTGGGCCGCTTTCCATCCGTCTGCCACATCATTACGCCACCGTGTTTGTTACATTTGTCGTGTCATCACATTTCAGTCATGTGACAACATTTGTCATGTTTCAATCCTGCGTTACACTCGCGTCATAGTGTTTGTCGTGCCACCGTGCTTCAGTTGCACCATATTGTTTGTAGCATTTCAGTTGCATCACAACATTTGTCGTGCCATCACGCCATTGTGTTTTAGTTCTGAGATTCAGTCATGTTTCTTAGAAAAAAAAAATTGAAAACAAAAAAATAAATATGGGTTAGTGAACCAACCCACCAACCCATAGTGAGTTGAGTCAGGTTGTGAAATTTCTGACTCGTCATCAAATGAGTCGGATTAAACTCGTCTATTTTCAGCTTAGCCCGTGATGAACCAATCCATATGGGCCGGGTTGGCTCACTTTGACACCCATGATAACACCTTAAAAGTTAAACCAAGGTCATAAACATGAGGATTCAATGAAAAACATACAAATTATCCAAAAAGGAAGAAATAGTTGTTACCTGGGCAAGTTCTAGAATTTCATTGTGGTCTTTGTTCAACTCAGTTGGAACTGAACGAATAAGTTTTTTCTTTCCAACAGAAATAACTTCAAAACCACTACCCAGCACCTGAAATTTTGGTTGCACCTCAGTATGAAACACCGTAGGCTCCACAATGACACGTAATAAATCTTTCAACAACTGGAGTATAAAAAGTGTTCCAAAAGAATTATAAAGAAGGAAAATGTACAACTAAAACACTATGCACTCCACAATCCAAATGCACAGATGCTAACATCCTGTCAATATAGTGTTTTTCTTTTTACAAAATTATTTATGAAAGACTTCAAATCATAAAGATCAATAAACAATAGTTGTTTGATCTTTAATTTACAATTCAATTTAATGATGAGTTCTGTCCTATAAATTTTCCCTGGTTTACTCAGAAAACCGAAGGTCATTCTTACAAGTTACAACTTAAAAGCCATGTTTCTGGGCAAACCAAAATTATCCAAAGAGGACCACAACCACAACTAACCCTTTCACATCCCGAATCCAAATTTCCCTATTTAAACGAGTATTATAAAGTTTCTTATGCTTTTCTGATACATGTGTTTGACCATTACCATTCATGATTTCGCTCATACCATCATCGAGTTTAAGTCCTAGGAAGTATCAAGATTCTTTCCCAAATCCAAATGTTTTAAGGTGTACAACTGTTAAAAGAAATCAATAATTGAATATAATGAGATTGTGAAGAATGAGATACTGCTGGTCAGTTACAGTCATTCCCAGAACAGGACTAATTAATGGGAAAGAATCAAAGGCATGCTGTAAAATTAGTAGCACATTTACGTTAAAAAATTCACTGATGTGCAAACATATGGGATAACAGAAACCTTAAACACATTGATTTGAGATTGTCTTTGGCATTTATTCAAGATTTCCTGAGTCACACAAACATTATCTACATCAAACTCATAAAAAGTGCTAGTCATAGTGTGCATAGGGAGGCAACCAAAAGCACAAGACCTTCAGTTTACTAATAGCACGCAGGCAATCATCCTCTGAAACAACTCCCCGATCACTTTTTCGTCTCTGGCGAAGGAGATGGCAGAGTTCCTGCAGGTTGATCAGTCCTCCATTGTGGGCTCTAGTAGCCAAGCAAATATCCACTATTTGAACTCCTGTCTAGTCAAGTAGCTTGTCTAAGAATACATGCTAAGAAGATGGTGAAAATAAGAAGCTTGGATTTAATTTAAAAATATAAATCAGGAACAATTTATGAAATAAAAAAGATAAACACTTCAACAATCATAAGTTTGTAACACGGTGAATTAAAATGTTTTAGACTCTGATATTGTGTTAGAGTCCATCTTAAAAGTTAAAGCAAAATGGTATTTAGAGAAGCTTCCCAACATTTATATAAATAGCACCCCAATAATTGAGGTAAGTGATGAGGACTTTCCGACGTTTGGAAACCTAACATTAGTTTCCATTAAATTAAGCATCTCTTGTCCCATGACAACCTAACTAACCCCAACTGACTGTTTTCGTTTGTTTCTAAAAACAAGGTAAATAGGATGACAAATTCTATTATCCTTCCTCTCAGAATTTGAAGAATTATTCATATTTACTGGAATAAATCGCCGATACTAAATTCAGGCATTCCTATTGTTCAAATTCTGAATAGCTCCGCATTGCCCCTGTTATCCTTTATTTTTTTTCTCAAGTATTCCATGTTAATTATCCGAATGGCATATGATATGAATACATGTACATAAAAGATTCAAGCATGCAAATGAAACTTATTTCAAACAAGGTTATGAAAGATATCACTAACCAAGTTCGTAATAGAAATCACCAATTCCTAATAGCTCTGCCCAAAAACCCTTGTTTGAGGCCAAGGGATCTACTCCAACTTTAGCACACATCTCGTGAAACTGTGATCTGAATGCCGGGTTTTTGCGTATGTCATTCTGAACAAGTAATATCAACCATTAGAATCTTTATTTAATCATTAATTGCAAAATAGGTGATAATTAAAGTGAGAATTTTTTACAAGGCCAACACAAGAAACCATGAACAGTGTGTAATGGTACTCATTAGGTAACCACTACCCAGAAGTTTCATGGCTATCAAATTAGTCAAGCACAACCTTTAAGAGAACTCCAGTGACAGCTAAGTCAGCAGTCAGCAAGCAACATAGCTAAAATAATTCAAAATCATCCTATTCATATCTCCCCATATTAGAGAACGTGTCGTTAGAGTTCCTCAACTTTTCTTGACGACAATTGACAAAACTTAATGCATTTTACAGCTCATTAAACATTGTTGGTTTTATTCTCCTATCAGAATTAGAGTTTTACCCCGGCAATTCACATAATAAATGTCGTATTAGAGGTCAACATAGATTAATCTATTGAAGAACAAGACCAACAGCATTTAAGTTTCTCTATTAATTTCACTCAAAAGCAGCGAAGTGCAAGTACCTAAAAACATCAAAAGAGACTCCATTTCCACTTAAAGCATCAATCTCCAAAACAAAACCCAACAGAGTTCATCCAACACCCCATCATAAAAAGAGGCACCGACAAATGAAACAATTCAACACACGAAGAATTTGATGATAAATCAGACATATTATACATTTCAGAAACTATACCAATTACGTCAAGACAAAATTAAAAACTAAGCATCAAGTGCAGCATAATAAAACCAACTAATTATAGCACCACAACATTTCACTGTCCACAGTAAAAACCAAGAGGGAAAAAAAGGTGGAGTGAAGATAAAAAGAGAGGACCTTGTGTTTACGAGCGAAATCTTCGAGCTGAGAGCGAAAGGTAGCAAGCTGCTCCTTCATCAAATCGGTTCTAATCTTCGCAACATTTTCACCCAGCAAACGGAATTGATCCCTCGCAGCAGCATGCGTCTGCAACCCTCCAATGCCAGGCCTTCTTCTCATTTTCCTTTAGCCTTCGCCGAATCGTGATTCCGATTTTATTGCTTTTCGTAAATTGGGTTCTCTGGGTAGTGAGTTCCTTTATCAAAATTTGAAGAAACTATTTTAACTTATTCTCTTTTTTTTTTTTTCATTTCTTGTGTCACTTAAGTCTTATTTTTATCTTTAAATAAATTAATGTTGTCTTTGTACAATGTTTGTAAAAATATTTAATGGAAGTGTGTAATAATAACATAATTTAATATTTACTTTTAAATTAAAATCAAATTAATATTAAAAATAATAATGAGAATAAAAAATATCATTTAGATGAATCAAAATAATGATTGAATATATTTATATTTCTTATTTAACAAATATGCTTCTAAATTGTAATTTCTAACATTCATTTTAAAATATATACTGAGATATACTTTTACATATTTTAATTTTTTTATGTTCACAATACAAATCAAAATCGGTTAGAATGATAACTTTATTTATGGTTTAACTAGGTGTCGTATAATATATTATAAATAAAAATAATAATTTTTAATTTAAAAATTAATAATAAATAAATTTTATAAGAACCAAAATTAAAATACTTTATTTGATAATACCTATAAAAATATTGAAACATTAAAATAATCATGGTAAAAAAATTGCTTTATTTGAAAACCATGCAAATGAATTTAAAAGAACACATATGAATATTGAAATTAATACTAATTAGGTTGATGTTTTGAAATTTTTTTAGTTTAACTCCAGTACGTATAAAAGAATTATTAACTCTAATTATATATAAAAATATGATTTTTTTTCATAAATAATATCATTTTAAAAAATATTTTCCAAAATAGCATCTCACAACATTATTTACTCATCTAGCATTATTTATTATTCACGTTTTAAAATAATCGATTATTTTATATTATGATCGATTATTTTACGCAAGATTAACTCCTACTCAAGCGAGAAACCCATCAATTGAGCGAGGAGACCTACAACTAATGGGTATTGTCGAGTTCTATTTCGCTCAGCGACGAATTCTCGCTCGAGCGAGAAGAGATTGAAATATGTGGTGACTCAAATTATATTATGCGGTTGGACTTTTAGTCTGTGGTCAACTTTCGCTCAAGCGAGAAATCCATTGCTTGAACGAGGAGACCTGCATCTAATGAGTATTGTCGAGTTCTATTTCGCTCAAACCATGAAATTTTCACTCGAGCGAGAAGTGATTGAAATATATGGTGACCCAAATTATATTATGTGGTTAACTGCATTGAACCTTTAGTCTGTGGTCAACTCTCACTCAAGCGAGAAATTTATTACTTGAGCGAGGAGACTCGCACCTATTTATAATTGATTATAAGTTAAACTAATTGATTATAATTTTAAAATAATCGATTATTTTATATTATGATCGATTATTTTGCGACTTTTTACATAATTAATATTTTAAAAAATTCCCAAAACAGCACCTCCCAATATAATTTCTAACGCACACAAGTCAGGAATCCAATGTTGAGTCACCCACCCAAGTCAGGATTCCAATCTTGGATTCCCCGCATTAGGTTAGACAAAAGCAGAAGAATCCAAACACATTTATAGACATGCTGACCCACCCACTTTGCTTGGATTTTGTGTGCGTCAGAAGCCATGTGAGGGAGCCTTGGATTCAAACCATTGGACTTCATTATAAATAGATCACTTTCATTCTTTGAAGTTCTCACATTGCACACTCCTAAATCTCTGAAGTTTTTTGCATTCTTTCTTCTTCTTAAATTTAGTCTTCCTTTTGTTCCACACTCCTAAAATGGGTGTAGTGTCTACTATTGTCCACTATGATGGTTTCATGAACCCATGTTTCATGGAGGGAGTTACCTTCAATACTAGGACCACAAAACTTGTTCCCTTAAAGAGAGAAATTTCTTTACAAAAGTTGAAGAAGTTGATCCACAGGAAATTGGAGAATGAACCCCATGAAAATGTAACAACCATCTATTTTCGCTACCCAACTAGACTCAGAGTTGGGATAAAAAACTTCATTGTTGTTGAGTTGAAAGATGATGATGATGTAGAGGCCATGTTCGATGTGCATGACTTAAACTGTCTATGTGGTATTAAAATTTTTGTTACATTTAAAACTTCTTTTTCATACCCCAACCCACACTCACCTGAAATCTCACCCTCACCCTACCAAACTTTCCCAAACACTGACCTAGAAATACCCATACATAATGACTACATCCTTTTTACCCAACTTCTAACTGGGTCTTCCACCAACATCAACAAAGAATTACCCACACAAGAAAACGAAATTATTGGTCTCCCAATTAAAGTCATTGATCCTTTTAGTGAGGACGAAGACGAAGATGAAATTCTCAGCTAATAACAAGATGATTCAGAGGACAAAATATCACATATCCCTACACATGCACCAAACTTCATGGAACCATACAACCCACCACAATATTTTCTTAACTCTGAAAGTCACATTCAACAACAAGACCCAGAGTATGGTCATGCATTGGACAGAGAGTCTTTTGTTTATCCGAAAGGAACTCTATTTCTTGGACAACGTTTCATAACAAAAGAACAAGTTCAAGATGTCATCAACCACTTTTACATTGTCAATCATTGCACATACAAGGTGAAAATTTCAAACCAAAGTAGATATGTTGTTGAATGTGTTGAAAACCAATGCAATTGGAGATGTCGAACAATATTGCGCACAAGAGAGCAATATTGGGAGATTATGAAGCTTGAAGGGCACCATATATGTGTTTCGCCATTAATCAGCCAAGACCACAACAAGTTGGGATATAAAATGATTTCCCAAATAATTGGTCAAATAATTGATGCTGATTCGTCAACATCAATCTCTACAATCATAGCCCACATCCAATTAACAACTAGTTACACTATAACGTACATGAAGGTCTAGCTGACCAAACAAAAGGCAGTAGAGACCATCTACGGCAATTGGGAGGATTCGTAGCTTGAAGGGCACCATATATGTGTTTCACCATTAATCAGCCAAGACCACAACAAGTTGGGATATAAAATGATTTCCCAAACAATTGGTCAAATAATTGATGCTGATTCGTCAACATCAATCTCCACAATCATAGCTCACATCCAATTAACAACTAGTTACACTATAACGTACAGGAAGGTCTAGCTGGCCAAACAAAAGGCAGTGGAGACCATCTACGACAATTGGGAGGATTCGTATAAGAAGTTGTCTTGTTTCTTACAAGCCATGCAACAATTTGTTCCCGGATTTATTTACAAACTGCAGTCACAACCAGCTTACCAAGGTGAGGTCCTTCAACAAAATTCAAATATTTTTAAGCATGTGTTTTGGACGTTTAAGTCATGCATAGATGGATTTGTTCACTGCTAGCCCATTGTTCAAGTGGACGAAACTTTTCTGTACGGAAATTATAGAGGTACCTTGTTGGTTGCAGTAGCACAAGATAACCGCAACAACATCCTCCCCATTGCATTTGCAGTGGTCGAAGGTGAAACAAGTGATGCGTGATTTTTTTTCTTAAAAACCTCCAAAGATATGTCACACCCTAGCAAGGATTATGCCTCATATTAGACCAACATGAATCCATTAGAAGTGCATACATAAGAAATGGAAGCGGATGGACAGAAAATAATTCAGTGCATGTCTACCGCATTAGACACATTGCACATAATTTTATGAGATGTTTCAAAAACACCACACTAAGGAAAGATGTTGTAAATATGGGTAATTTCTTTGCTTGAAATTTGTTACAATTTATTCATTATTTAATTATTGTTAATAAATATTTATATTAACTATGTTTTTTTAATATTATTGTAGCATATGGGATGACTGAACCACGATTCTACTATTATTACAATATCTTGAGGCAATGTGACTAAAATCAGCTAATTGGTTGGATGAGATACCTAGAGAAAAATGGACACTTGCATGGGACAATGGACGGCGTTGGGGCCACATGACGACCAACATAGCAAAGTCTATCAACTCTGTTTTGAAAAAAACAAGAAATCTACCCATTTTCTCCATGGTTAACGCAACGTACATCCGCTGTAACAAATTTTTCATTGAAAGAGGGAGACAAATAGATGTCATGATCAATATTGGTCATGTATACTCTGAAATTTTGGTCACAAATTTAGAGGAAGCACAAATAGAGGCGAACACGCATAGGGTTATAACTTTTGACAAATCTACCATAAAATTTGTAGTAGAAGAAACACAAAACTCGCGTCAAGTTCAATCAGCAGGGAGGTTTGCAGTTCGCCTTGATGAGTTGTGGTGTGACTGTGGGAAATTCCAAAAGTTTCATATATCTTGTTCACATGTTCTTGCTGCATGCAAGCATGCACACCATGACTTCAGCAACTACATTCATCCAGTGTATACCTTACAACAAGTTTTAAAGGTATATGAAACACAATTTGGGTTGCTACGAAATGAACAAAATTGGCCAACATACACAAGACCTACTTTGTGTGCAAATCTAGAAATGAAAAGAACTTCAAAGAGCCGACCAAAATCAAGACGTATAAGAACTGAGATGGACATTACAGAAAATCAAAGTAGGATGAAAAAATGTTCATATTGTCATACCCCTGATCATAGCAGAAGAACATGCCCCAATGTTGTACGTGCACCTACTTCGAATAATTAGATTGTGTTAGTTAATAAATGTCCTAATGTATGAAACTTAGAAGTTTTTCAATTAATAAAGTTTCTTCTTTTACTTGATTAATTTAGAGTAATTATTTTTTATTTATAGAAATAAAATTATAAAGTATTATATATAAACATATAAATAAATTACTTTAAATATACATTAAATAATAACAAATAAAATATATATATCAAATTAAAATTAAAAAATATAACTATTTATAAATTATATATATTATATAAATTATAATTATAAAGTTAAAAAAAATTATATTTAGAATTATAACCTTAAAAAATTATAATTATAAAATTAATAATAATATAACTATTTTTAATGTTAAATAAAGTATATATATTATATAAATTATATATATATATATATATATATATATATATATATATATATATATATATATATATATATGGGTCCCGATTATAAATAGATGCAGGTCTCTCGCTTAATTCCATCCCTTGAGCAAAATAGAACTTGACAATACCCATTAGTTGCAGGTCTCCTCGCTCAAGCGATGGATTTCTCGCTTGAGCGAGAGTTGACCACATACTAAAGGTCCAACACAGTTAGCCACATAATGTAACTTGGGTCACCACATATTTCAATCCCTTCTCGTTCGAGTGAGAATTTTGTCGCTTGAGCGAAATAGAACTCGACAATACCCATTAGTTACAGATCTCCTTGCTTAGGTGATGGGTTTCTCACTTGAGCAAGAGTTGATCTTAATCGAAATAATCGATCATAATCTAAAATAATCGATTATTTTAAAACATAAACACTAAATGATGGGTAAATAATAGTACAACGATGCTATTTTGGAAAATATTTTTTAAAATGATATTATTTATGGAAAAAAAAATCGTATATTTATATATACAATATCAATATAATAATAAATTTAATTATGCAACTTTGAAAACAATATATATATATATATATATATATATATATATATATATATATTAATTGGAATGAATATTTTAAGTATTAATTAAAATAATTCATTATATTAACAAAAACTTATATAAAAAATTATTTATTATTAAAATTTATTATTTTTGTAATAAGGTCGTTAAAGTAATTTTTAATTAGTTCTGATAAATATGATGTTTCTTATTTTCTTTACTTTTTTGTTTTTACTGAATTACATTTCTATGAATCAACTTCAATACCTTATTTCATTTCTTCAAATCAAACCCCTGCAGTTACAATCTAAATGTTTAGCGTGTTTTTGTATTATATATTTATTAAATGTGAATTACATAATTATAGACATAACTTTTGTGTTACGATTTCAATCCCATTGATAACCATTTCATCGATTAATTATATATAGCAAAATATTACTGAGAAGTGAAATAAAAAAATAGGATACAGTCATGAAACATATTGTCTGAAGTCTTTTGAGAATAACACCTATACTGATTACTGCATAATCAATAATTTTTTATAAAATATAATTTCTTTATCAATTCAACTGTTGAATTGTAATTATATGGTATATTGATTGTTTGTGTCAAATTTTGTAAAAATACGAAAAAAAAGTTGTGATAAAAAATTCATATTTGTATATATTTTTTTTAAAAATGTGTTTTTTAAGACATAATGTGAGTAAATGAAACCTTCAACAAGACATAATGTTTCCACAAGTAACTATTCATCAACAAGCATATGATCCAAGTTTTTCATGTAAAATAGACATGCGTACCAAAATTGCAGTACAATAGTATTTACAATCACTATGATCCAAGTTTGTATAAACCAGATTAATATGTTATCCTCATTTCTTCTAAAACTTTCCCGTTTACATGTGTAAACTATCAACTATGGTAGTCCTAGAATATCTAATGAAGTTAAGAAAATTTTTGTGGTGGTCATAATCTATGTTGATGAACCAGTAGCTTCCTTTGGTATCAGAAACAGAAAAGCAACTGGGATGAAATTGCACAAGGCATGAAGTATGATGCCCAAGAGAAGATTGTCAAATGATCCTGAATCAATGTTCAACACAGAAGCCAAACCAGCACCCACAAAAGACCCAAGTGTGCTTCCAAAGTTATTTATTGACATGAAAAGTGCAAATAAAGTTCCTTCAATTCCTGGAGGACATAGTTGTCCAGATAAGATCAGGAAAGGCATAAACCTGCAGTTTTTTGTTTTTTTTTTTTTTCAGAAAAAAATATGGTTAGGAATTGGAACCAAGGGTGTAACTCAAAATGGTTGATTACAGCAAAACATTTACACTTTCACAGTATTTTAACTACGGAACATCCTTTCGAGTTCTTAAGAATGCATAGAAAATGAAAATAAAATTCGTTATTTACGTTAATTTTTCATATAAATAGAAGTTTTGCTGATATGTCTTCTAAAATTCTAGTAAAATGCATCCATTTTGACATTACATAGGTGTTCACTTATAGGATACAAGTAAATCATATAAAAGAATAAAACTTCATCATCAATCCTAAATTTTAAAATATTGAATTTTGTGGGTCTCTCTTGCTTATACGCTATTCAATTTTACCATTTCCACTGGAACTCCAACACACTTGAATTCCAACACATTTCTTGTTTTCCCCCATTTTGTCTATTCTTCTTCCCCTTCATTCTTCTTCTTTCCCCTTCCTTCTTTATTGTTATCTTTTTCATTCTGATCTTTTTTTATTCTTGATCCTCAATCATCTTTCTTCCATTTTCCTTTTTCTTCTCCTTTTCTCGGTGTGATGTAATAGTTGGTGGTAGTGATTATATTGATTAGGTCTAATATTTTTGAATATTTTGCTTGAATGATGATAAAAATTGTAAATATTTTGTTTGAACAAAACATGGAAATGAAATTCTTTAAAGTGATGCAAGTGGGTGGGGGAGATGAAATTGAATACTAGTTCAGTAGCTGCAGGTTGCATGTATCAGTTCTGCCAAATAACATGTCAACAAAACTAATGGTGTTAGTTAAATTTATTCATCCAAAGGATTAATGTGGATAACAAATCTTATTTTTAAGAGACTAAAATTTCAACATCTTTAGGGACTAAATAGAAAGTGTCATATACTTCTATGTACCCTAAAATGTATTCAACCTATTCTAATTAAATCTATCAAGTCACATGTTTTTCAAGCTTATTATCTTTTTCTTGGACATAAGATAAAAAGAGAAGCCGTGACTAACTTGAACTGATTGATTCCATCAGCAAGAGCTGAGCCAAAAAGCACCATAATCTTGTCTGAGATGCCGAAGGCAATATTTTTCCTAGAAACTACGACAACCTGCAGAAGACTCAAGAAAGCCAATCCAATCTGGGCACACCTGTAATCAGGATGAAACCATATAAGTATATTAAATATATACAAATTATCCATTCACCAAAGAAAAACAATCCTTAGTTGCTTACATGAAGATTTTTCGTACGGTCATATACTTTAGGTGACGATTATAGATGAAGGTTCCCAGCATAAGTCCCAACCAACCAACAACCCGTGCAGTCCCAAGGAAAGAAGCTTCCAACTTTAAAACCTCGGTTTCATAGTAGAAGATGACGGTTGAAAGATTAGGAATGGTAATGTGAGCAAGGAAAAACCAAGACATAGGTCTGCCCTCACCAACATATAACAAAGTTAGCAACCAATGACCAAGTTATGGCATATGCATTAAATGAATTAGCTTCACACGGTAAGGCCTTACTCACAAACACACACGTACAGAGGAATATAAATATCTAACATGTTTTGATTAGTGTGATGTTACAGGTTACCATGTGCAGATAACTTGGCTCATTAGATCTTGCAGAGTTATCAAGTTAACTGTTTTCTAGATTCTCTACTATTCGTTGCTGTATATAATTCAGGGTACATTATATTAGAGATTTAGGATAAAAAATGATATCAAATGTTCAGTGTTTTCACCAAATCATTCACCCAACTAAGTCATTTACAGTTCTGATTCAATGCAGAAAATGATTTGATGGCAACATATCTTTGTTTGTTGTGTCGATAGGAAAGTGTGCTAGAGAATATATTTCTAGCACTCCTCTTCTTTCAAAAATTTAAAGGCCATCATGTGAAGAAAGATGGAGATAATAATCATTTCAATAGGCTGCGGTTTACATAACAAACTTCTGTGAACATGTTTAAAAACCAAAATATCATCTTTAAGGAAAAGGTAAGACGATTCAGGATGCAGGTTTGCTAAAACAATACGTATAAACACTCAGAGGAGATGTGATTTCAATAAAGAATCATTCATAATCTTATAAGTATACTATCAGAATTGAAACTATGGACACCAGACAAAAAACTTTAAATATTACATTAGTTACCTCCAAATCATTGGCTGTCTAAATGCACGACACAAATCATAAATAGCTTCTTTTAAAGAATGGAACCACTTTAATGACAAGGAGTCCCCTTTCTTAGAATGCTTTGATTTGCTGCTATTCGCTGATCTCCTTTTTGCGTTCTTTTTGCTCTTCTTCCTTCTTCTTGTGCTATTATGAGACTTTTTATTTAAAGGACTATCTTCATCTACAGAACTACCATTCATATGTGAATCCCTTACAATTGAATCCTCTGGTGAAACTATGCTATTTATTGAGTTCTCCTCCACAAAACAGCATGATAATAACTGTAGACATGGTAATACACAAAATAGAAGAAAAATAGCCTTTATCTGTAAATTGGATAATGCATATCCTCCTAACAAACTCCCACATATTCCTCCCAAAGCCATAGAAGACCAAGATATTGACTGAAGATCTCCCGCAAACGAGGCCCTGACCAACAAAGCATTCACTTAATCAGAGTGTAAGAAAAGCATTCAGAAATATTAAATGAACAAAGTATCATAATCCAAAGTCAAAACGAATGTTAGACACCAACATGATGTAGAATATCCACCATTAAGGTTCAGAAAGGGAATCAATCTAGGACAAACCTTATGTATGCGACCAATAACTGAAATAAGGCCAAGTTAAAGGTCATGGACAAAAGTTACAACATTAACTTTGTATTGGAAACGGCCTTCATGAATCCATTATATTGGAAGATTGGAAATTTGTATGTCCACAGAAAGTAAAAATTATATATAATTCAGTTTTAGTTAGAAGGATGAGATGTTAGGATCAAATCAAAACAAAAATTTCTTGTGCCAAAAAATAAAAATATTTCCCAATGTCGTGTAACTTGAACAGGGTAGCAAACAATTAGAACGGAGTCTCAAAAAATCTGCAAACAAACGCTCTTTCCCGATTCTTTTTCAAAATTTCACTGCTTTTCAGTGATCAATAAGTGACATGCACACCATTAGTATTTGATTTTATTCTCCTTCCTTGTTCTGAAGATTGAAAAACATTCTTGTTGTCCCATATTTTTGAATTACCAATACTAATATGTAGGAACACTACTCAATATGAGGTTTGTCTGCAAAAAATGAGAATCAGGAACTTGTGTACAAACATACCGGTCAAATCTTACTGCCTCAGCTATCATTGCGTCAACAACAACATCTGCCATGGCTGAGCCCAAGTTTTGTGCTGTCAACAATACCATCAAGTGCCATGTTGAATTCCTCAAGGTTGAATTTAAGCCTAAAATCAACCATGGCACCAGGGAAAGCACAGTGGCAATCACTAAGTAGGGAACCCGTTTTCTTCCTTTAATTGGAATGCAATCAGAAAGTATTCTGTGTATCAGTAGCCAAATCAGATTGCAAGGAGATATAGTATAAAGTTGATTTAGTAAACAAACAGGTACACATAAACAAAAACTACACAAATTAAGCTGCAGCTTTTAATAGTCAACGCAGTTCTTTAGATTGGAGAGTTAATATGAAAACAATACTAAAATTTATATTCATGCAGATACTTTTCACGCTCAATCAAAAAGTTACTTATCCATCCAAAAACCTCGTCTTCTTGTTTTAATGAAATGAAAAATAATTTGAAACAGCTACTGGTATATATAATTTAATTTGATCTCAGATTTTTTCATGACCTTTCCCTTTTTCATCATATAAAATCAAAATTCTGTCGCATCTTCAAAATACTTGCATAAGAAAGCTGAAAACAGTTGAGAGAATCATAATATCATAAGGAACATAAGAACAGAAAAGCATCACAATAAAATTATTCAGTTTGGTATAATTGCAAATCTACCTTAACTATATACAATATGTTTACTGACTACTTTCAGTGCATGCACAAATCTCCTTCTTTGTGTTAAATGTTTCTACATGCGAGTAATCAATTAAAAAACAATGATCCATACCCATATAATGGTTTAATGCTCCATGGAAAAAATGCGACTGAAAACACAAATTGGGAAGCTGAAGGTGACAACTTTAGATTATCTTTAAGCTGGTAGGAAATAGATGTCCATACAAAAGACCTAAAACCCTGCATTAATTAATTGAAAGGATAAAACAAAAATGAAGGCATTAATTACCCTTATACAATGCTATGTTATCATGTCACTCCAGCAATCTAATAGCAAATGATAAACTTGTGAAATAAACATTACTCAGAAAATGTACAAAATAATAAAGAACAAATTCAGATTCAGAGAACTTGTTTGCAAAGAAAAATTACAAAACAAATGAATTGACCAATAATACCCATTGTAACAAAACCAAGAAGAAACTATCAGACTTCAGATCTTAAAGAAAAGAGGGAAAAAAATAAAACCCACCATCAGTTCCACAAAATGATTCAAAATTTAAATGAAAAGAAACTAAAGGATGGAGAATTGAGACCTGGGTGAAGTAAATCAAGCAAATCAGCCAAAGAAATGAGGCCCCAAATGCAGCATTCAACTGCTTCGTCCATTGGATCATTGTCGACACAAAACCTCACTCTTGGGAACTCTTTTGCGCGCGTTTTCTTTTATGTGTTATTAGTGTCCACTACGAAGATGCTGCTGATTCATTCTAGTGTTATGTTTCGGACAATGGAAAAAACAATTTCCGTTTTCCCTCCCAACGGTTTCCACAGAGCAGGGAGTTATTCACTTGTGACGGTTTTGTCCCTTCCTCGTTGAGTCACGAGCTTGCATCAATAGGGTTAGTTCCGTAATTTAGTTGTATGTCTGACACGTCCATGAATCCAACCCAATTTTGCCACGTTTGCAACAGGGACCCACTGGTATTGACTTTACCGTTTGACTCTTTTTCTGAAAATGGCCTTTTATAGGCCAAATATTTGTATTGACTTTTGTAGTTAAGGGGCAAAATATACTACTTCCCATTTTGTAACATAGCTTTTTAATTATTCTTTATTGTTGAAAAAATTTATTAAGAATCATGAAATTGTTGTAACTGTTTTCTTTATTTAACAAACATCACTTTTAATTTTACAACTTTTAACAAATTTTAAGTTTCATTATATTTAAGTTAAAAAAGAAATTAACCTTCAAATTCGTTTACCAGTTAGAAATCATCATTTGCCTAACTGTAAGTTGGAATTAGTGATAATCTATTGGTACTTATTTTTCTCAGACAATTAGGAACAAAAACAAGTTCAAATATTATTCTCCACTTGTAACTCTTCGTATTTTTCCATGTGTTATGATATTTCGAAAAGATCTAACATGGATCATAACATATCTGAATTAGGCATAGGTAGATGCTTCATTTTGGTAAAACTTAACTACATCTATTATTCATCTACTTTTACTACATCCCTTTATTCCTTGTAACATTTTCATTTCTAAATCACATGTTGGTTTTTTCACAAATGGAAGTATTCACCAGTTATTTCACCAAGTTATTAGCCTCAAACTCTTCATAACAATTTACTCAGGAGCCATCTTGTTGAGCTATGCTGGAGACTCAATCATGTCAATGGAACAGTCTAGCTGAACATGACTCCTAATTTCAAACACTTAAGAACTTGAAAGCAGTTTGAACATCCTTATCCCCTCTGCCACTGCAATTAACCACACAACCTTAGTTCCATTTGGAAGGATAGGGCAGAGTTTCTCTAAATATGCAAGAGCATGAGATGTCTCCAAAGCAGGAATAATGCCTTCCAGCTGTGATACTCTCTTAAAGGCTGCAGATTACAAAAAACCCCAACATGAGACAAATAAACAAGATACAAGGATTAAAATAACTTCAACTTCTGATCTTGGAAAATATAAGATAAGATATACATATGCTAATAGTAATAGCTCTACTGCCTCTACTTGATAATAAATGGCATGTTGTTTACACAGCAATGTTCCATTTGGTAGAGAGAAAAAAATAGAGTGGAAGAGAAAGAAAAGGAAGAAAAAGAGGTAAGAAATGAATGAAAAGAGGAGTTATTTAATAAATTGGCAAAATGAGGGAAACGATAACTGAAGAATTCGTAATGGCAAAATGAAATGAATAGTGAACCAGGAATTGTGATTCATAACAAGTTAACAATGGCTACCATTAACATATATTTCAATTAAGCTAACAATATGTGATCATGATAAAGGTCGAAAATAGTTACGCCATGTATAAGATAACTTGTTACAACTCTTTCTTAGACATCAATTCATTTCATTCTTCTATTTCTCGCTTCTGTCACATTTTATGTTTTAGTTCCTAATCTTATTTATTTGAATATTTATAGAGGGTGAAAAATGACACACAAAAAATAAACCAAACCATGACAAACTAAATTCAAGTGACTCATTTTTTTGCCAAAGATATCACTACACATCTTCTACCTTCCAGTGCTTCTTCATCAGTAACACTGTAGTATTCAGCACGCCCTACATCTTTCAAGAAACTATGCTCTGGTCCAACTCCAGGGTAGTCCAACCTGTACAATGAAAAAGGAAAACTGGAATGAACAAAAACTTGGATAAACAACAGAAAAAGTAAACAAATACTAACCAGATGAATTACCCTGCACTGATAGAGTGGGGTTCAATTATTTGCCCGTCGTCATCCTGCAAAAGATAGCTCATAGCTCCATGCAAAACCCCAATTTCTCCTTTTGTTAATGTAGCTGCATGCTTACCACTTTCTAGGCCCAACCCTGCAGCCTCCACACCAATCAGTCTAACATCTTCGTCATCAATAAATTCATGGAAAAGTCCCATGGCATTTGAACCACCACCAACACATGCTAACAGAACATCTGGCTTCCCTCCCCACTTTTCCAACGCTTGCTTTCTTGTTTCTTTACCAATCACTGCTTGAAACTCTCTTACCATCTTTGGATAGGGATGTGGCCCTGCAACAGAGCCCAAAATATAATGTGTTGTCTCCACATTGGTCACCCAATCCCGTATAGCTTCTGATGTAGCATCCTTCAGTGTAGCAGTCCCAGAATGAACTGCTCTGACCTACATCACAAAAGTATCAAAAGTGTATTTTCTTAAGCATTTGGAATTTTAAAATATCAGTAGTATATTTTCTTCAAAAATAGTTAACACATCAACCTAATTTCTAGTTTCCTATGTGTAATTCCTTCAGAGACAACTATACTCGACACTCTGTCAGACACTAGGAGGCACTCACTTGCCATTCGTTTCCTGATTTTTCGGTTTTAATCGTAAAACTGTCACCTTGTTTTCAATCGGTTTCTTGTTTCAAAGATTTGTGCATGAAACTGTTTCCTCTGTTTCTTATTCAAATCATAGGAAACATGAAACAGGTTAAAAAAATAGGTGACAGTTTTGTAATTAAAAAGTGGGAACAGAAGATGATAACAGAAAACAAAAGCAAGAGTGAAAACACCATACATATTTCCCTTGGTTCCCCACGTTGTGGCGTACCACCTCCATCTACTAGACTCAACCAATATTGGTAATAAAACACCAACCGATAAGAAAAGGAAGTACTGGTACCAAAGTTGTGATCATTTTCTCATAAGAAAGAAGGATGATTAAGAGACACCCAAACATTTAATATACAACTAAATAAATTAATATAGTTATATTATTAGTATTTTATTAAAGTAGTTGCAGGGAAGTTGTGTTGTGAATATAAATTTTTCTTTCTCATAAACATTCCCATTCCCCACAAAAACATAGGTCATATAATATATATTGACAACTACTGTAACACAATCATCCACAAGTCAATTTATTATTATTATTATAATCATAAAAAGAATTAATCAAACTAAAGATAATTAAAAATTAATATTATATTATTAAATGGAATTGTTGGAAAAATGTTTTAGATAAGAGGGTGTTAAAATATATTTTTCCAACATAATATCCTAATAAACAACACAACTCTTTCTAGAAATAATCCAATAAACAACTTATAATTATAACAATGATAATAATAATAAAAAAAATAAAAGATTGTTGAAAATAACCCAATATAATAATAATAATAATAAAATTTGAAAGTGTAAATTGGGTGTCAAATCATTATTGTAAACAAAAACTAAGTACAAGCCTTTAGCCAACGTACCTCAGCACCAAGAAGCCGCATTCTGAACACATTAAGAGCCTGTCTCTCCATGTCCCTCGCCCCCATATAGACCACACACTCCAACGCAAACCTCGCACACACAGTGGCAGTGGCCACCCCATGCTGCCCCGCACCAGTCTCAGCAATGACCCTTCTCTTCCCCAATCTCTTCGCCAGCAAAGCCTGACCAACTGCATTGTTGATAAACATAGAATATACGATTACAAATACCGTATCATGCCATGATTCTACATGATTAATTTTTTCCATATTTAGCTTGGCATGACAGCGATACACAGTGATGCACATTAATGTCATATCTGTTAATAGACAAATTTAGGATACCGACTATAATGGTTAGCGTGATTATAGCCTAGAATGTTTCTGTATTTCATGTATATATTGTGCTATCATATTCAATACAAGACAAGGGTTTTTTGGAAATATTTTTATCATGGTATCAGAGCGAACCAAACTCTGATATTCAACAGCCCGAGAACACAGTCGTACTTCTAAAATGGCAGAGAGAGGAGAGGCGGTGAAGAAAACACCATCGCCATACGATCTGAGTGCCAGTGATAATCCTGGAAATGTGATTACACAGGTACAATTACGAGGAGAGAATTACGAGGAATGGGCAAGGGCCGTGAAGATATCTCTCGGGCTCGAAGGAAATGGGGTTTCATAGATGGAACTCATAAGGAACCTGAAGAAGACACATCTGAGATAGAAGATTGGTGGACAATTCAATCGATGCTTGTATCTTGGATACTAAACACTATAGAACCTAGTTTGCGTTCCATCGTTGCATACATGGAAAACGCAAAGGACCTATGGGATGACATCAAGGAACGATTCTCGATCGTGAACGGACCAAGAATCCAGCAGACTAAAGTCGAGTTGGCAGTAATGCAAACAACAAGAAATGACTATGGTTTCCTATTATGGGAAGTTGAAAACGTTGTGGGATGAACTGGCAAATTACGAGCAAATCCCACGAGTGTAGATGTGGGGGATGCAAGTGTAATATTATGACGCAACTTGAGAAACGAAGAGAAGAAGAAAAAATTCATCAGTTCTTGATGGGGCTAGATGATGAGGGCTATGGAACTGCACGGTCAAATGTTTTGGCAACAGATCCATTACCCTCGTTGAATCGGGTGTATGGCACCATGGTGCAAGAAGAAAGGGTGAGAACAATCACCAGGTCTAAAGAAGAGCGAGGAATGATCGTGGGAATGGCTATGCGAGCGGAAACCAGGAACAAGTTGCGCAATGAAGCGAAAGAAAAATCGGTTGTTTGCATGCAAGTGTGGAAGGAAGGGACATGACAAAGGCAATTGCTTCAAGATCATTGGTTACCCAGAATGGTGGGGAGAGAGACCACGAACCGATAGAAACGATGAAAAAATTCAACCTTCCGAGGAAAAGGAGGAACGACTCGCGTCAATATGGCGCACACTGGTGCAGATAACGTTGGTTCAACCGAAAAACCAGAAGTCGCAGGACTGCGTAATGAGCAATGGCAGATCTTGACAGCAATGTTGAATTCTCGCAAGGCAAATGAAACTGAAAAGATGACTGGTAAGAAAGCATGTGACTTGTGGATTATTGATAGTGGCGCCTCTAATCATATGACAGGAACACTAGAAAACTTGAGGGAGAGTCGAGCCTTGGAAGGGTGCCCAGTGGGACTACCAAATGGTGAATTGGTGCTGGCAAACAAAGAAGGATCGGTTTTCCTTGATGGAGGACTGAAACTTAAACATGTTCTATATGTTCCGAAATTGAATTGCAATTTGATTTCAGTATCACAATTGACGAATGAAGTAAAATGTACAGTACATTTTACCGATAGATTTTGTGCAATGCAGGACCACACTTCGAGGATGCCGATTGGAGCGGGTGAACGAAAAGAGGGACTCTATTGGTATCGTGGTGTGAGTGGCATAAAGGCGTATCGGACCAATGCGTAAAATCAACTAGAGATTTGGCACAAGCGAATGGGACATCCTGCCTACCGCATTGTTAGAAAAATTCCGCATCCGAACAACGTGAATAGAAATACGGATACAACTCATGTGTGTGAAGTGTGTGAGAGATCAAAGCAATGCGTAAACACATTTCCTTTAAGTGATTTTCAAGCATCCAATATATTTGATTTAATACATTGTGATTTATGGGGTCCATATAGAACTCCCTCGTCTTGTGGTGCATCTTACTTTCTCACTTTGGTTGATGACTGTTCTCGAGCCGTGTGGATATATCTCTTGAATAATAAGAAAGATGTGTCACAAACCTTAATGCATTTCATCGCCTTAATAGAACGACAATACGAGAAACAAGTCAAAATATTACGAAGTGACAATGGAACCGAGTTTATGTGTCTTCAACGATATTTTCAGCAACATGGGATACTCCATCAAACCTCATGCACTCGGAACACCTCAAGCAAAATGGGAGAGCCGAACGAAAACATCGACACATCCTAAATGTAGCTCGTGCTCTACGATTTCGGGGAGAACTTCCACTTCAATTCTGGGGAGAATGCATTTTGACCGCAGGATACTTGATCAATCGTACACCCTCAACCGTTCTCCATGGAAAAACTCCATATGAAATATTGAATGGGAAGCCACCCACTTATGACCATCTACTGGTATTTGGATGCTTGTGTTATGCACATAACCAAGATAGGAAAGGTGACAAATTTGCAAGTAGAAGTCGCAAGAATGTATTTGTTGGATATTCAATCGAAAAAAGGGTCGGAAATTGTTTGATCTCGGAAAGAGAAGTCTTCCGGACTTCGAGAGATGTTAAGTTTGTAGTAACATGAATTCCCGTTTGCCTCTCTTGCCCACGCAGACATTCGGAGGTAGGATTGCCTACCGTTGATGTTGGCATTGTCGAGGAAGCATTGCCCGGACTTGGTGCAATGAACAATGCGGAACACGTTGTGGAGACCGATGACGTTAACCCCACAACGAAGATGTGCCCACAACCGAGTTTAGGGAGGGCCACGCCGAATGCCATGAACAAGAGCCTCCCACCCGCATCGTTCTCCCACCGTAACAAACCGACTCTATGATGACGGAACTAGAGGTTCCCGAGGAGCATACTGTCCCCGCATCCCCGGGGAAAGGTCTTCGTGTACGAAAGCCATCTCGTGAAGCTTCGTGATTATGTCACTAACACCACTTTACAACTCTGGTCCCTCAATTCGCACTCCACATTCAGCCTTCCTCGTGTATGCCTTACAGCTTGACAAAGTACTTAAATTGTGCTAAATTCTCCTTCCCCCACCGAACCTTTCTTGCAGCCCCTTCATGCGAGAGAGAACCCGTGCATTTCTTTGAAGCCGTTCGGGATGTTAGATGGAGAGATGCCATGGCTAGTGAAATTCGGGCCCTCCAAAGTAATGAAACATGGGACATTACTCCTCTACCTAGCAGGGAAGAAGCCTCCGGGTTGCAAGTGGATTTATAAAATCAAATATCATTCCGATGGGAGCGTTGAACGCTTCAAAGCCCGATTAGTTGTCTTGGGAAATCACCAAGTTGAGGGGATTGACTATGACGAGACCTTTGCCCCGATGGCAAAGATGGTCACCATTCTGGACAAGTGTTGGCAAGTGGCGTAGCCAAAGACCGGGAACTCCATCAAATGGATGTCCATAATGCTTTTCTCGCACGGCGATCTTGAGGAAGATGTGTACATGAAAATGCCGCCGTGGTTCTTGGTGTCTCAAAAGGGTATGGTGTGTCGTATCCGCAAGTCCCTTTATGGTCTTCGTCAAGCTCCTTGGTGTTGGTTTGCCAAGCTCTCAACTCGCTCTTGTTCAATATGGGTTTCAACGTTCTTCGTCTGATCACTCCTTGTTCATCTTTCGCAAAGGAGATGTCGAACTCGGTTGTGTTAGTTTACGTGGATGACCTAGTCATTGTCGGCAATCATCATGAAGACATTGCGCAATTCAAAGATTATCTTCATCAATGTTTTCGTATGAAGGACTTAGGGAAATTAAAATACTTTCTTGGGGTGGAGGTTGCCGGATCTCCTACAGGAATTTTCTTGTGTCAACTAAGTATGCGTTGGACATCATAGTCAAGCAGGATTGCTTGGAGGGAAACTCGTGTCCACGCCAATCGAAGAAAATCATCGCTTAGCATTGGTCGATGGCGAACTACTTTCTCGACCCGAGTCAATATCGACGTCTCGTCTGGTCGCCTTATTTACTTGTGTTTTACACGACTCGAATTATCTTACAGTTGTTCATGTCCTATCTCAATTCATGCAACAACCGCGTCAGGAGCATTGGCGGCTGCACTCCGCGTGGTATGCTATTTAAAGGGCAGCCCGGGTCGGGTGTGCTTTTAAAAAGAGAGAGTGACCTTCGTCTTTATGGTTGGTGTGACTCTGACCGGGCAAGTTGTCCTCTCACTCGAAGATCTCTCACCGGGTTGGTTTATTTTCCTTGGTCAATCCCCCGTTTCCTGGAAAACCAAGAAGCAACATACGGCTTCTCGATCATCCGCCGAGGCGTAATATCGTTCTATGGCCAACACGACATGTGAGTTGAAATGGCTTCAAGGCCTTCTTTCGAGCCTAGGCATTACTCACACCGACCCTATGACTCTCTACCGTGACAACCAAGCCGCCCTTCACATTGCCAAGAATCCTGTGTTTCATGAACTGGACAAAACATATTGAAGTGGATTGTCATCTTATTCGTGATGAAATACAACACAATCATATCCAACCCTCCTATGTGTCCACTCATCATCAACTGGCTGATCTCTTCACCAAATCTCTTGGCGCCACTAAATTTGGTTCTTTCTTAGCAAGTCGGGCATTCATAACCTTCATACTCCATCTTGAGGGAGGGTGATAAACATAAAATATACGATTACAAATACCGTATCATGCCATGATTCTACATGATTAATTTTTTCCATATTTAACTTGGCATGACAGCGATACACAGTGATGCACATTAATGTCATATCTGTTAATAGACAAATTTAGGATACCGACTATAATGGTTAGCGTAATTATAGCCTAGAATGTTTCTGTATTTCATGTATATATTGTGCTATCATATTCAATACAAGACAAGACAAGACAAGGGTTTTTGGAAATATTTTTATCAATTGTTGATCTTGTGCGCCCCCGTGTGGTTCAGATCCTCCCTCTTCAGATACACCTCGGGCCCTTGGCCGTCACGCGCATAGTGGCGCGTGAGCCTCTCCGCGAAGTAGAGCGGGCTTTCGCGACCTACGAAGTCCCGCAGAGTCTCCGCCAGCTCTTTCTGCGAAACACGGAAACTTTATCGTATCTGGGAATTGCGGATTCGGATAAAATGGAAGTGGATTTTGGGATTTGAAATGTAAGGCATAGAGAGAAGAGAAAAGAAGAGAACCTGGAAATGTTCGTCGGAAGCAAGGGAGTGAAAAGCAGATTCAAGTTCGGTGAGGGCGAACATGAGTGTTTCAGGGACGTACTTGCCGCCGAACCGGCCGAACCGGCCGCGTGAGTCCGGTCGCTGAGAGTGGACCGAACCGGTGTCGCAGTTCGCCATTGGAGGAACTGAGATGGGAACGGGAATGAAGGAAAAGGAAGATATATGCTCGAAGGAGGAGCAAGTTGCAATACAATATTAAATTTAGAAGTAAAATAATTTAAATAATAATAAATTATATATTAAAAAATGATTTTATCTCAGATTTAAATAATATTAAAAATACATTTATATCAAATTTAAATTTAAATAAGAATATTTTAGATTTTCGGTATACTTAGCCAAGCTTGTAAGGAATACGTCAATTCCAATATTTTATTAAAAATTTTAATTTTAATTTTAATTTTTATAAGATTCAATTAGTTATAAAATTTAACTAGATAACAGTTTATTTAAAAGTACCAAGTTTTTCTTATTTTTTTTTAATTATCTATAATGTTAATCTGAAACGTTCAAGTTTTAGTTCTTTTCAACCCTCTTTGTGATATATTTATGATTTAGTTATTGATAGATAACGTAAAGAAACAAAGGAGTAATGTTTCCAAAAATCTCTTGAGAAAGGCATAGTTATTATTAATCCCTGAAAAAAGTTCAAGACATGACTAAAATATAAGAAAGAATAAAAGAAATGATTTTTTTTCTAAACATTTTTAAAAGAGAAAAATACGAAGAAGAATTAAAATTTTTCTATAAACTAAAATTATCTTATAATTTGTTTATATAAATTCTTTTAATTTATATTTAAATTAATTTTAATTTATGAGGAAAAAAAATCTCATGTTTTTCATAGAAATATTTATAGAAAAACTCATACAAACATGCTCTAAGAAACATACATTAAAATAAATTGGATAATGTAATATTAATTAATGTTTTAATTTTGTAAAATTTATCAATATGTTTTGTTGTGTGTCTCTTGATTAACGTAAGTACTTGTCTTATATTTTTCATACATCACTGAGCTGAATTTGACCTCTTCCAACAAATTTTCTTCATTCATAAAGTCAAGGAATTCAACCCTTGTCATCATGTTTACACAAACTAGCTATATCAACGTTGTGAAACTTTGGCTGTGATGGATCCCAAACATTTCAAATCCACAAGTTAGATAAATAAATATGCATTTAAGCCATGAGTCTCAGTGCACTGTTCAATGACAGTGCCATTTACTATTGTTTTGCTTTGTTCTCTATAATATTACCATTTACAATTACTCAAATGTCTCATGCTTACTTTTTCTAGGTTTTATAAAAACATATATGGTATAAAGAAAATATGCTCATACACTCATTAGTTTCAAACTAGTTCAACCAAAGCATGAGCACTCTGAGATTCAGTGCAAGACAATATATATCAAATGCAGTAAGTTGGAACACTGGTGGGTCGATACACAAAGGTCCTGACAATGTGTGAATATCCTGATGGGTGATTGTAACTGAATTTGACCCCCAAGCTGCCCTCACCAAGTTGAGTGCACTGCTCATGGAAACTACTGATTGGTCGAGCTAGACATGCGTCCCACCGATCACTCTCCGGCATTGTCTCAGCTACTGTGTATATCCCCTTGGCATCTGTGAAGGCCTGATAGTTTAGAACTTCTCCAGACTTGGTGATGCAAAGGACAGCAACCTCAGCACCTGCATTAGAACACTATGATCAATTATCTTTAGTTGGAAAAAAAAAAAAAAAGGAGAGATAGTAGTCTAAAAGTATGCTCCAGTAATGTTAAAATCTTTGGAAATTGCATTCTGATTTGTGAGTTACACCAAGATTTTGCAATGCACTAGCAAAAGAAATTCTGTGTGAATCAACAACAAGAAGAAATACGAGTGAGTGACCGATATTGAAGTGGTATCATGATGAAAGAGTGAAAAAAGTACACTCATAACATAGTGAAATAGAATATGAAACCGGAAATTTCCAAATAGTGAGAGGAGGATGCTGGACTATACTTCAGCATCAAAGCAAATGCAAAGGATGGTAAGTTGACCAGTGGCATGTCCTTTGTTCAGATTTTGTATGATTGTTCAATTTCAAAATTAAACTACCATCCGAATAATGAAATGATATGAAAGTTGAAACTATGAATCATCAACAAAACGGTTAATCTAAAAATGGGATAACTTAAAAACTAGATACAAAAGAATAAGAAAGATGGATCATTAGGATATCGAAGAACCAACATTAAATGTTATAAGTTCGACATCAGTGGCATACAAAGGATCATTAGGATAAAAATACAGAATTTCATATCAAACTTTTGAAAATTAGAACAATCAGCCAATTGAGAGGTAAACTTTTCAACAAACTCCCAATAGTTTATGTACATAGAGTAAATAATAAGACAACAGAAAATAAGAGAATTTCACTCCGATTGAGAGAATGAGTTTAAGAGACACTTATCTCCTACATAAACATAGAAAGACAGCTAGGTGTTTATTCCTACGAGTTTGGTCTCATTACTCTAAAGTACTCATAGAACAGTAATACAAATTCTCTCTTGCAAGGACTCTAGGAATTAGTAGAAAACCCTCCTTTCTTATATCTCTCTCTTTACTAGAATCTTTTAAATAACATTTGAAACTGCCTTAATCCTCATCTGTGTCGCAAGGATGTGAACGAAAATGATAGGGAGTAAAATACGGTTATCATTGAAAATGTACGGCAAAATGTTCAATTCCTTCTTGAGCTTTACTTTGAGACACACTGATAGCTACCTCATAAAGGGAGGTGGTTTAACATAAATGATATTGACATATCATAGTACCGTTAAGTAGCTTTGAATTCACAAGAATTAGCATGATCATACAACATATCCGCAAGCATAAATCAACTAACACAACACAGACATCAGTTTTCTTAAAAAGATGAAAGGGTAAGAAATAAAAAATCTTCACAATGATTACACATTACTAGCCATTGATAAAATAAACTTACAAGGAATGGCAATGCAAAGCGAGCAGGAGGAAGAGACTATCGTGCAACATATTTTTCAATTAGTCATACCATCATCCAAAAATCAATATACCGACTGGATCAGGAACGCAATTCCAGATATCAAATTCAACTTGGGATTGAAAAAAGAAAAAATTTCACTCCCAACATAAGTTAATCAGGTAATGCATTCTTATGAATATCTGCAAATTCGTTGATCAAACCAATCAGGGTCATCTCATTCTCCTTCTGTTGATTAGTAAAACAAATACAAACAAACAATTCAGCACATCCTTTGATTAAACCAATCAGGGTCATCTCATTCTCTTTCTGTTGATTAGTAAAAAAAAAAAAAAAAAAAACAAGGAATTCAGCACAGGCCATCAATCATCATCATCACCATCTACAAATGTCAATAAACAAATTCTGAAAACATCTTCCTTGTTCCATCCCCTGTGCCACCAGGTCTAACTGGCTTATAATGACTAAACAATACAGTGCACAGTCTACGCAAGGTTTCAAATAGCACTATCGGATACCACAATGTTGGCTGTAACTACAAGGTTTTTGGATTCTCCGCTACTGCAATTGTAGCCATATTTGCCCGCAATTTCCTACAATATCAAATATCACAATAAAACTGCAAATGCTACCGAAATTTAAAATCTTGATATTCTGTTGCTATAGGATAAAATTGAAGGTTTTAAATTGACGGTAGCACTGCAATTGAAGAGCTAAACAGTTAAAATGCTAACTACTAACCACACCACGAACCAACACACAAGTCAAATTTTCAACACAATTAAACAAACTTGGATAATGATATATGGCTTATTTACAACAGCAAAAAGCAAACACTTTCATCAAATAGGGAAAACACCATTTCAGAAACTTGATCAAAACGACACAAATTTAAAACAAAACGCCAATTGAAAAGAGAGAAAGAAAGAAAGAGGAAAAACCTTCAATCACATGATCTTCAGGTCCAAGAGAAGAATCCCCACAAACATCACAAACAACTCTTCCATGGATTTCCCCAGTCCAAGCACTCACACCCCAAACAGAAAGCAAAAGAATCAAACCCATCACTGTCTTCTGCTTTTCCATGGTTGAACTTGAGAAAAACAACAAAAAATGGCACCTTTCTCAGAGCACTCTGTTTTTGGGTAGTTTTCGTTAAACTCTCACAGTGCATTGATATTTCCACCGACACAATTGAGATGATACATACATAATCACAAAAATACAAGCATCACAACTCAATTTATTATTATTATAATCATAAAAGAATTCAATTAAATTAAAAATAATTTAAAATTAATATTATATTATTAAATTGAAATAGAATGGTTGAAAGTTATTTGTAAAAGGTGTTAAAATATCTTTTTTCCTGGTGAAATGCTGAATGACCGAGTCCAACGCCCGAGTCAACTGAAGTAGGGACTGAAGTGTCATTATGTAAAATTTTCAGGGGTAAACTGGAAAATGAAGAAAACATGCCCCATAAATACTAACCAAACCCTTGTTGTGTACTTGTGTTGTGCCGCATCCAAGAGAGTCACTTGAGGGGACTGGTAGGTTATCCATACTCCTTGTTTTGGTGCATTGGGAGTTTCGTGTGATGTCTGATTGTTTTACTGTTTGTGCAATGCACGCTTTGTATAAGACTTTTTTTGTAATTGACGCTCATAATCAAGCTCAATGCCGCTCTTTCCAGTTCTGTTTTCCTATAATGTTTTCCTTTTTTAAGACGAGTATAATGTCTGCCACGGTGACTTATTAACTTTTAATTTAAAATATATAAAGTTTTTTTTTTTTTTTTTTTTTTTCTTTCACCTCTATGGGTAAAGTTTGTTATTCTTTAATTTGATGGTTACCATATGATTATCGTAATGTTTTAAATTCTATCCACCACTATAGATTCATTATGGTCTTTTCTATTTCAGAAATTGCAGAATAATGCAGTTATAATTGTAGCTGTTTTGATCATAAAATTCTTAAATGTTGCTGTTACAGTTGCAGTTGTGGAAATTTCTTGAAGAATTCTCCGGAGGAGGATTTTTTGGTACTTCGGAGTTGCAGGTGAGAGTAGGATACAAAGTGGATGTTTCTTGCGATGTTCTAATCTGTTCTTTTATCTTGGCACTTTGGATTTGTTTTCATTGCTTTCAAATATATGGGCCGCATTAGTTGGATGACCATGATTGCCCTTTATTGTCATGAATGCAATTCCCTATGATGATTTATAATATTGAAAGTAGTGGACTGAATTCCCTTGAGGATAAATGAAATCTGAGGGATATTCTTTTTCACTTGAAGTATTGTGTGTTTGTGTAGCATCTTTATGAGTCCTAATGTTCAGCGTCTAGACAAATTTGCATTATTTTCTACTACTTCAATTGTCAATTTGTTAAGTGTTTTGTGTCATAAGCAATTGCTTTCATCTGTGTCAAGAACTGCTATAGCATGTATAAGCACAGCACTTAAGATCGCCTTCCTTAATTCTTACCATGGAAGCGTTTTGAGTCATAGCTGTGCAAAATCAACTTACCAATTATGGAGGTTTCCCATCAGGGTTTTCCTTGTGGGTCCTCCTCTCCCCCACTTGATTCATATATTAATGAGGCATAGACCCTTTTCACCATTGGACCTGTTACTTTTATCCTATTATTGTTGATGTTATTGGAACTGACTTCTTGTCACAGTAACATTCAACAAATAGGATTTCAGCTTCTTTGGTTCTTGATTAATGTCTCAGCTAGCAAGTGGGAACACTTACATCAAATATTACTTTCATTTTTTGTTGGCTTGTACCTTGATCACTGATTTGATTCTGTTTTAGTTGAATATACGAATGACATGTTTGATGAATCCATTATATATGTGAAAGGGGAAATCCTTTCAAAACGAAAATTGAGTCATTGATATGTTGACTTGTTAATCTGTTGTGTTGGGAAATACTATGAAATAATTTTAAAAAGATCACTAAATTAGTATATTTATCATATGCAGAAGGGCGTTGAAAAAGATTGCCCCCTCCCTTTTCATGCCCTGTTTGCTGGCTCGAACCCTATGAACAAACCCCTAATAATCATTTCTAGCTAAAGTGCAGCTGTAGGCACCAGAAAGCAGAGGCAGAAGTCTCTCCCTGCCATTTCACAGAGATCAAAATGGCAGCAAAGAAACCATGGAGAATCATTCCGAGACCCCTCCTAGAAACCATCCTCAACAACCACGCGCAGAGCACCACCGAGTCCCCCAACCCCTCCTCCTTCACGGCCCCGCAGGCGTCGGCAAAACCACCCTCATTCTCCAACGTGCCCTTCTCTCTCTCTCTCTCTCTCTCTCTATATATATATATATATATATATATATATATATATATTGTCTCTCTAAGACCCATTTCACATTTTTCCATTCTTCTTGGCGAGTTTACTCCCCGATCGGAACAAAGGCCCTCATCTCACCGGTTACGTTGACTTCGCCGAGCTTATGAAAGGCAACCTGGGCACATCACCCGGCCCGTGGGCCTCTTGGTCCACCTCGTCCTCGGCCCGCCTCTCCGATTGCCGCAAAATCTTGGAGCATTGCGTGGAGTCCATGGTCGAGAAGGGTGTCGGCCGCAGGAACCATCACCTCCCAACAAATATTCACTACTCTCAACAAATGGCACGGCCTCACCGCCGCCCTTCGCCACGTGCCTTGCGAGCAAGTCCCATGCTTCGGACCGGGCTTCCTCGCAGCCGCTATGGGAACGTGCCGTATTCGCCATGTCCAGGGAATGTACCACGGCCGAGGTTGGTCGGATTTTGGGATTTGGGGAGAATGAGAAGAATGGCTTGTCCTTTGAGGAGGCTTCTTACATGAAGGAATCGGCTGCGGCACCGAAGTTGGCGAAGAAGATAATAGCGCTTCATCAAGGGTGGAGGGCAAATGCCATTACTCACATGAATCGCACCGGCATGTTCTCCGGGACTTTGACGCATTCTTGTACCGATTGGCCTTGCTTGTTGTTGGAGTTCTTGTCACAAGTCGCTGAAATTGACCATTTTCGGGTAAATGAAGTTTGTTTTCGCAAAATACTCAATTAATCAAGGTTTTTAATTGCACTCATGGATGCCATTCTTTTAATTGCGTGCAATTGTGGCGGATGTAGCCTCAATTGCAGCTTGCGAAGACCACCAAAACCATGATTTGCGACTGCAGTTGTGGTTTTGGAACATAATTGTAAACCTTGAAACAAATTATTGGATATATTAAAGATGCATTTCACTCTAGTATGCAACCGGAAATGATTTTCTTTTGTAAGATTGATGCCTATTTATCTATGCTATGAAGTGATATTGGATTGCTTGTTTTTGTATAGTGTGTTGTGACTTGAGATGTTCAAACTGATGATATATTCAAGTAATCGCAGCCAAAGCCGGTTATCAACAATATTGAAGTTCTAAAGCATGCCACTCGAAAATTCCGAGTCAATAGTCAGTGGACCCCTATATCATGATAGTCTGATATGGAGAATAATTGCTTTGGGTGCAAATGAGCGCTCGTCTCGCTGTTATCCTGGTGACATCTCGATAGGTTATTTTCTTAAGTTAAACTTTATTTCCTTCCTTCTCCTTACATCACAGGTTGCCGCACAAAATTCTAAAACTGTAGATTTTGATTCAATTTTTTTATTTTTTATCGCTTAGACATTTTTGCTTAGTGAGGTCATTTGTTTCACGAAGAACCCATTTGGTATCTTGTGGTTGTCAACTTTTCACATAATTACTTTTTTTGCATAAAAGGCACTTCAATCTTTTTAATAGATATATCAACTTCTGACTATGGGGAAACTATTTGTATCAAATGATAAAAAAGGGCCACTACTAGATGCCAACACCAGAATAAGTAGACTCAATTTTGGTATTTTCTATGTGTGTTAATTCATTACTTTTGTAGCAACCATATTTTGTGGTGATTTCAGCCCGTCAATTATGATTGTGTCTTATTGTAGTGAATCAAACATTTTGCATGTTGTGAGATATTATTTAGATACTGTTTAAATATTGTTTGATATTGTTAGATATTGTTAACCACAATATCAAACAATATCTTCTGTTTACTTTCAGTTACTCTTTTAGTTGTACCTCTCCCTATTATAAATAGATTACCCTATATGTAATTTATACACAAGGGAGATTAACCCTATACAGTTTTTTCTCAATTTTCAACATGGTATCTAGAGCTTAAGGTTTTTTGGGAATTTTTTTTTTGTCCCTGCCATTGCAACAGTCGCTATCGTAGCCACCGCCACCACCACCGCCGTCGTCGTCCCGACCGTCGGAGTGACCGTTTTGACCGCCGAGCACAGGGTTTTGCTCGCCTCTACCACACGACCTCCACGGTGGAAGTTTTGCCGTCATCGGAGTAGCCACGCTCCCTCACGCGCCACCAAAAGTCGCATCACCATCTCGCCTTGTCGCCGGGTGTGGTGGTGTGTCGTCCCTCTGTTCAGGCTGTTGCCACCTGCGTTTGACTCGCCTCGTTCCCCTCTTCCTGGATCTATTCTCGTTGCTCCAACCTGATCTCTTTGGTGTTTTTAGGGTTTTTCTCTCTCTTCCTCCATGGCATCTTCCGCTGCCTCTTCTGACTCTGAAATTTCTTCTCTCAGATCTAGTGGGTCTGACCAGTCAATCTTTACTAATTATGTCAATGTGAATTTGTCCATTGATAAGTTAGATGACACGAATTATGCAACTTGGGCGTCAGACATTAAACTTTGGCTTGAGAGCTAGGGGTATGTTCATCATCTTACTCAAAAGGTAACTGATATATTGCTTCTGGTGATCTTGTACGCTGGAAGAAAATTAATGCTCATATATGCATGGTTCTCAAGAATACCATCCAATCTTCTTTAAAACAAATTTTTCGATCTTATGACACATGTTCTGAAGTTTGGGAACAAGCCAAATTATTATACACCAATGACACTCAACGTCTTTATGGTGTTTATTACAACCTTTTTTATGTTATTGCTCCTCGGGATAAGGATCCTGTGGTGGATTATGTGGGTAAGATACATGCTCTTCTCCATGAATTTAATGAGTTATTACCTCCTGCATCTACTCCTGCCCAAGAATTAGAGCAACGGTTCAAGTTTTTCATGATTTTAATGTTACACGGACTTGTTGATAAATATTCCCATGTCCGTGACCAGATTTTGGGTTCCCCTGTTACACCCAATTTTATTTTACGAGTTCCTCCCTTCTGCGTGTCATATAAACCCCTCAATGATCCCCCTGTTTTTACTAATGATTCCTCTGCTTTGGCATCTCAACGTGATAATCGCAATCGCTCTCACAAGCCAGGCAAAGGGCATCACAAGTGTGACCATTGTGGCAAGCTAGGCCACAAAATTGACAGATGTTATGCTTTACATGGTCGTCCTCTTCGATCTACTGTCATTGTTCAGACTGATCCTTCCTCACAATCATCTGCTGTGGATCCTCCTTCATCTACTCCCCCGACATCAGACAAATATGCCATCTTCAATGATTTTCTTAAATGGTATGAGGATCGTAAGCGCTCTAGTTCCACTGCTTTTGTTGCACACACAGGTACATCTTTTGCTAGTCTGATTCAATCTTTTTCTATTGACCCTTGGGTTCTTGACTCAGGAGCCACATATCACATTACTGGTAACAAATCCTTATTTTCCTCTTTCTCTTCTGCCTATAATTTACCCTCTGTTACAATGGCTAATGGGTCTACAACTCTAGCTCATGGTGTTGGAACGGTTAACCTTTTTCCTTCCTTATCTGACCTTCTTGTTGCCCTTCGTAAAGGTATGCGTTCTACTCGTAATCCTTCTCCACATTATACTGCTTTGAGTTACCATAGAATATCTTCACCTTTTTATACGTGCCTCTCGTCTATCTCTTCTGTGTTTATTCCCAAATCTGTCCCTGAAGCTTTAGCCCACCCTGGTTGGCGTCAAGCCATGCTAGATGAACTTAGTGCTCTTCAGAGTAGTGGAACTTGGGAGCTCGTCCCCATTACCATCAGGAAAATTTGTTATTGGTTACACGTGGGTCTTTGCTATCAAAGTTGGTCCTGATAGTATTATTGATCACCTCAAAGCTCACCTTGTAGCCAAAGGCTATACCCAAATTTTTGGATTGGATTATGGTGATACTTTCTCTCCAGTGGCAAAAATGACTTCTGTTCATTTATTCATCGCTATGGCTGCTCTTTATCAATTGGATGTCAAAAATGCTTTCCCTAATAGATATTTACAAAAAGAAATTTATATGAAGCAACTGCTCGGATTTGTTGCTCAGGGGGAGTCTTCTAGATTGGTATGTCATCTTCGCAAATCTTTATATGGCTTAAAACCGTCTCCTAGGGACTGGTTTGGCAAATTTAGCAGTGTTCAACAATTTGGCATGACTAGAAGTGAGGCAAACCACTGAGTCTTTTACCGTCACTCAAGTGTTGGATGTGTCTATTTGATAGTGTATGTTGATGACATTGTTCTTACAGGCAGTGCCCATCATGGCATCTCCCAGATGAAATAACACCTTTGCTAACATTTTCAAACCAAAGATCATGGCAAACTCAGATATTTCTTGGGTATTAAGGTGGCACAATCTACCGATGACATTGTTATATCTCAAAGAAAGTATGCATTGGATATTTTGGAGGAAACTGGGTTGATGAATTCAAAGCCTGTTGACACACTCATGGATCCTAATACCAAACTCCTGCCAAATCAGGGGGAGCCTATGTCAGATCATGAGCAGTATAGAAGATTGGTTGAAAAATTAAATTATTTTACAGTTACTCGTCTTGACATTTCCTTTGCAGTCAGTGTGGTGAGTTAATTCCTCAATTCTCCATGTCAAGATCATTGGAATGCAATTATCCGTATGTTAAAGTACATCAAAGGGTCTCTTGGAAAAGGTTTGTTGTATGGTTCCAATAACCATACAAGAGTTTTTTGCTATTCAGATGCTGATTGGGCAGGATCTCCCTCTGATAGAAGATCTACATCTGGGTATTGTGTCTTCATTGGTGGTAATTTGATCTCGTGGAAAAGTAAGAAACAAAGTGTTGTGGCAAGATCCAGTGCAGAAGCAGAATATAGAGCTATGGCCTCAGCTGTCTGTGAACTTGTTTGGCTTAAGCAATTGCTTAGAGAGTTATAATTTGGAGATGTCACTCAAATGACACTTGTGTGTGACAATTAAACTGTTTTTCATATTAGTTCTAATATTGTCTTTCATGGGAGGACCAAACACATTGAGATTGACTGTCATTTCATTCGGGAAAAAATTATGTCTAGAGACATCAAGACTGAGTTTGTTAACTCAAGCGATCAGTTAGAAGATATTTTTACTAAGTCTTTACAGGAATTTAGAATTGATTATATTTGTAACAAGCTTGACACATACGATTTGTATGCTTCAGCTTGAGGGGGAGTGTGAGATATTGTTTAGATACTGTTTAGATATTGTTTGATATTGTTAAGATATTGTTAGCCACAATATCAAACAATATCTTCTATTTATTCTGTTTACTTTCAGTTACTTTTTTAGTTGTACCTCTCTCTATTATAAATAGATTATCTTATTGGTGGTTTATACACAAGGTAGATTATCCCTATATAGTTTTTCTTCTATATTCAACACATGTATACTCAACATTTAAAAGTTTTTTCATGGTCTTGGGTCTTGGTTGACTTTCATGTTATACATATTCATGTATTCTGTTTACTATTTATTCTTGGGTCTTCTATTTATTCTGTTTACTTTCAGTTACTTTTTTAGTTATACCTCTCTCTATTATAAATAGATTATCTTATTGGTGGTTTATACACAAGGTAGATTATCCCTATATAGTTTTTCTTCTATATTCAACACATGTATACTCAACATTTAAAAGTTTTTTCATGGTCTTGGGTCTTGGTTGACTTTCATGTTATACATATTCATGTATTCTGAATTCTTTTCTTATGTTACATTTCTATTGATTTAATATTTGGTGCTGCCCTTTCTACATTTATTTTACCTTTGTATCCTTTCTACTAATTCCAATACCTTGTTATTTGCCTCAGTTACTATTCATATGAAGCTTTCTTGGAGTTTGGATATATGGAGATATTTATCTCACGTGAGGTACTTGAATAACTCATCTTCCTCCTTCTTGTTCTCTCTCACACACACCTATATACACAAATCATCCTGAGAATTTATGTATGAATTTGAGTAAGATACATGAATGGGCATGCCTCCTATGAATTAAGCATGGAATAGGAAATAAAGAATTAGTCTACAAATGTATGGTTTAGAATGTGTACCTCCTTTCCATGGAAAAAACGTGTCTGGTAACAAGGTAAAATTACATTTTGAGGTTAAGGCTGAAAAGGAAAGTTCAGAGTAAAACACAATAAGTGAATCCATGTTATCAGTATCAGCCAAAGTGGCCGCTATGGCAGTGTTGGGGCATGAAAAAAAAGTT